ACGTTCAAATAATGTAAAAATGAGTAATGAGGTATGTTCTAATCTGTACGTCTTATAATTAAAGGCTTCAAAATTATGCAATCTTGAACTAAAGCATTATCATAACTGTGTTTCTACTCCATTGTGTACATTGCAAAAGCCAAACCTTTTTTATTTGTATTCGCATTTGAGAAGAAACAGGTCTTCTAGAAGTTTCGTAGAATAATTACTATACGGAAGAAAACGTACCATCTGTTCCCGAAGTATTTTTGACTTTCTCGCAAATAATGACCTTACTGAACGTCCTCGTAATTGTTTTCTGGTATAAGGTTATCAGTCATTCTCACAAGAATGTTTGAAATCTGAATCATAGGCCCAACCGCATTGACGTAAACACAAAACCTAAAAATAAAACCGAAAACTTGAATATTCAAACGAATTTACTAACATAAATAAATAACCAGTGAGTTGGTTGGTAAAAATAGCATATCACATGCAAAATTGATATTATTTGCCGATGGTGATAATGCAAGATCCTAATCTTTGATCTCAAGTGACGTTGTAGCGATCTGTCTAATCAAGATTTCTTGGTAAAACGTTAGTAAAAGTATTGATATGTATTCACCCTGTGCTGAAAACTGAAATGGTTCCGCTAGAACACGCTCAGTGACGCGGTATCTGATAAAGTTTACCTGATATAGAATAATTAAACCGCCTACGGCCGCCATACTCCCGAGTGCGCTGAGCTCGGCGCCTCAGTCTTCGCGCGGCGCTCGTTCAAGACACTCGCGTCTCCTGCGAACACAACCTCCTTTATCTTAAAGTGCTAGTTTATTTTTACACTTACCGTATCTTTAGTGATTGTGTTAACATGCCTACTGAAGTTTGTGAAAGATTCATGGCTAAACTGTTAAAGATGGTGAGTGCTTTATGCATTTTTTTTATTATTTTGTAAATTATGGTCGTCGGTCGTAATTAATTCTTCAAACCTAATCTAATTCAATTGCTTGAACATTGTTTGAATACAAATACTTATTAAAGATTGAGTTAACTTTTTCATAAGGAAAAATGGCAATAACAATTGGAAATAAAGTTTCAATTAATACAGTACGGATACTATAGCGCAGTGATGACTGCGAAGCACAAAAGCCGGTATACTTCCCGTACAAGTCGGAACTTGTACGGTTTTCGGAATTCCCTCATCAAATAGTAGTGATATTTACGCGTCCCATTAGCAGAATCCATTTAAGCAAAATTTTCAAGGCTGCCAAAATCCGTGTAAAGCATAAAAGTTTTTATATCGTCGCCCCGAAAATAACAATACTAATTATTTTATTGTTTCGGTACTCTGTCAATTCATCATTCGGTCCACGTACACTTGACGTCAATAGTTTAATTACAAACGAGTAATAAAGAATCTAATTTGGTAGCTATGACCTCTTAAGAGTTCTAGTTACTTTGTGAAATGTACCAAGCTGTTCATATCCTTCTCCAGGGTTTATGACCGGTTTCAATGACGTCCAGACTCTGTTGGCTTAATGATCAGTAATATAACATTGTTTTTGAAGAGATTTTATGGATCATAAAGAGCTGGTCAGATGCCTGACTACGTAGTCTGGCTAAACTTATCTGATGTAATGGTTGATTTTACGTAGGATATTTAAATCACTCATTCATCCATCATTGTCAGTTAAATATTTATTATGGTATACAGTTTCTGTCGGTGCTTCTGTACTGATAACAGGCCTATGACTCTTTCTGGGGTCCTCTTCCACTTAACCTTTCCTATTAAGTTCTTTATTCTGTTTAAGTGTTAAAGGATGTTGAGTAATTCTTCTGAACTTTTCCTTAAATACTTATTGTCCCGTGTTAGCGCGAATTCATTATAATTCAAATTTTGTTCATTTTAAGGCCGCATTTACATACGCGAGAATTTTCTTGTCGCCTCTAAGTAGCGGAAAATTATCAAATATCAACTGTCTTAGTATTGTTCCGTCTTGTACATCTTTATTATATAATGTATTGTTCTAAAGTCGGTGTGAATTGTGAGGTGAAATTAGTATTCATAACGCAAGTCATGTCAGTCAGTTTCACGTTTGTTATTTTAGCTGTTCTAATAACTGTTGTGTTCTTTAATACTTGTTTTTCAATCACAACTATCTGCTCTCTAATATCTGTTCATTATTCTTTTATCATAGGAGTAACCTTGTTTATTCGAGTTTCCCAAATTCTTCATGCTACGGATTTCTTTACGTTTGTATATGTTCACAGCTTTCGTGTTCCAAAATTAGGTTTGTCAACATCGTAGCCATCGTAGCCCACGTTATGCGTTCAATTCGTAATACCACCAATATAATTGCGTCAAATCCTATTTAACGCGCCACTGTTTTGTGACACAGATTGTAATCAACCCATAAATAGTCGCGAAAGGTTTATAGCCTTCAATCCAGATCTAGAACATCCTGCACTATTTGTTCTATTTATGCTAATCGTTAGCGGGTTTGCTGTAGACACCCAGAGATTTTATCCGGGTCGACGTTTATACGTGTCCCAATTCAGTTCCCTGTTACGTCGTTTTTATTACCAGTTGGAAATAGGTAACCTAGTGTTGCATCGTTTATGTCAGTTACATCATTAGCGTTAGCATTATATGCAGAAATTGCTTCTCTACTACTCGCAGAGCCAATTTTCTTGACCGCTACGTACGGTGTCACGACATTGTCATCATCATCACGACCATACGATTCGATCTCCACTATATCTCTTGGCATCATCTTTATTTACATTTGCGTTTTATTTGCTTGCATCATTCTGGAGAACTCAGAATACATTAGCGATTCTTCGGTAGATTAAAGTTCGCGTCGAACCCATCTCTCGTCGCCCATCATCAAATCTTCACCCAAATATTACAACAGTTTGTGGAATTCATAGTGTATTTATTTAATATTAACATTACTGGGAATATGATTCGCAATAACAATAACTAATAATAATTGAATCAGCGCCGAGTTCAATATAACTTTTTCAATTATTTTTCCTTCTCCTGCCATTAACCACATTTGTGATGGATTCTGTGAATTAAATATTGATCTAAACTTATATTTTTTCATAACGATACTTGTTGAAACTGTGATGATCTGTAACAGTTCTAAGAAGCAGAGAAAGCTATGAAAAACTTAAAAACAAATCGAATATAACGGCTGTAATTGATACTGCCAATAAAGATTCATTAACTGATAATACAATAGAAAATAGAAACAATTTATATAATGGCACCAATGACAGATAGGGGCTACTGTTGCATTGCATAATAGGCATAAATCACGTTATGAGACAAATAACAGCTCATTCACAAGTTGATAGTGTATCGGGGTCGTGTGAGTCAGGTTCATCAAATGGTACATTGTTTACTACTGCCCCAACCGCAGGATGTCTGACAACACATCGAATTACCATTATTATTATTTTCATATGTAATTCTATTGAATTACAATAATTTTTGTGTATGTTTAATATTTGTGTTAGGTATGTTTAAGGTGATTCAGCCCTGTTGTTTTGATGATCTTCCATAAATTATGAAGAGTGTAACATGTCTAAGCCTGTCCTGTCACCATATCGTTGTTATTTTTCTTATTGTTGTAAACAAAATTACTTTACCACAATGACACAAAGCTAAAGCTTTGCATATTCAAACAAACAATGATTTGTACTCAACAGACTGATCAATATTGAGTAGTAATCGTGCACCCGATGCAACAAAAGGAAAGTAGTAACAATGTTGTGTATGAAAATATTGCCATTCTTTTACGACTGTTATTGTCTTCGAGCCATACTTAGGACATGCTAAGTACAACGTGATCGTCTTCACTAGCCGCTGCAACGGACGTCACTCGACTATTCATGCCTCTTATTTGTACAACGACTGCATGTTTATGGTCCATCAATATAGCTAATAACGTTGGTACAATAGGAGAATGTCAATTGTGTATAATATGACATGACTGACCTGTGCCTTACTCTTTATTGTTAGCTTCGACGTCATGCCGCCTATTGTTTCATGTTATTATTTTAGCAATCCCCTCGTTTCTATCATTAGCATGATTTGCATCAGTGAGTTTGTTGTGGCCTCAATGCAAAACAACGATGAGACCTTTCGAATCAGTAACCGGGATTATGTTTTTATCAGGGAGTATGCAGATAGATTCAGCGCCCTATCAGCTCTACGTAATCCCATAGCCGCCCACAGAAACGGAGATAGTGTGTATCTGGCAACGTCGCACGATTATTTGTTCGGTTGTTAAGGATCGTCAAACTTGACTTACAATGCCTGCAGTTTCTAGAACCTTGGGCTGATAGCCAGAAATGATAAAACTGTCCTGGTTTGGGCTACCCAGATATTCGATATGGACGCTCGTTGTTTTTCCTGTCGCAGGTGTCATTGCACACGCCATAAGCGTTAGCGATTTTTGTTACGGTATTTCGTTATTGAAAATTTTATTCAGAATTGAAAAAAATGTTACCTTTCGCGCTCCGGAAATCCTAAGTACTTTAGTTCACGCACTTTCTGCTTTTAATAAGGTCGTAAGCTAATTGAAATGTAACGTAACTCGTTCATATGTTTAGTCTAGCACACTAAACTCTTGATGAAGAGATTTGCAGTCGGAATTGGGTTGCATTTTATGTGAAAAACGAAATATGTAGATTATAAACACGTGTATTTATGAATTTGGATCACGGCTTCACATATGTACGTATAAGATGCTGGAATTTATACATTCCTCCCGTTTATTATCAACAAGAACACGTTTTAAATTTTATTTTAGTTCTTCAAAGAGTACGTAGTCTTTAAAATAAACTTTGCCAATATTGTTATTATTGGCAGTCTTTACCTATACAAAATTGACACCGGCAATAAAAATAAAAGGCGATTCAAAAACGTTGTCTGTGTAAAATCTATTCACAGATACTTTTTTTTACTACGAATCACAAAACCTTTTACTAGTCAAACAACTTTTTTTCTCATCTCAATTGCCAAGGACTGGAAAAATACATAATGTATAGAATAGAATATTTCATGTGTTACACCGCGACCATCCGGAAACTGTTTTGTTTAGCGCGAGCATTGTTATTGTAATGCCGTATTGTGTCACCAATCGGGTGTCGGGACCGGGGGCATTCAACGTCCCGACATGCGGCACGACCATTCAGACACTCGTCACTTCAGTAGCCATTCGGACGTAGCCGCGGACGGAACGCACGATATCCCTATCGAAAACACGGCAATTACGAACACAATTTGATAGACACAAAAAGTAACAGTGTTAAATCAAGGACTCGGCTATGAAATTGATTATTGATTTCAAGTAACGAGTCTGAAAATTGTGATTGATTTAGCATTTAGCACGTTTGTAGTTACATGGTGATTACAGTATTTAGTGTTGAAAAGTAACATTGAAGATGGTTGTATGGTATACTTCGGAGGGAAAAGACGAGGTAAAGATTGACTAACACATCCATTTTGTTTATAAATCGATCTAACTACTTTACAAAATGTTTCACAGCGCTGTGTAATACATCGCCCACGCGATTACCACGATAGCCCGGGCCTTATTAAAACAAATTCGCGGAAAATTTATTCTAAAAAAACTTAATTAAATATTAGTACGGAATTAGTTAAATGACCGTGTTTCATGAGTACACTCAAATAGACATAAGTTTATGTAATTTTAAGATGAAGACCAATCTCCGGTTTTCTCGGAAACTGATAATTTGCTTGTTGACATATCTCAATGTGTCTGGTAATGATCTAATGAACTTATTCTTATATAATGCATGTTATACACAGTCAATGTTATTATAGCATGAGAACACATTGTCTAGATCTAATTTCTATGAATGCATATAGTTTTTTTTAAGGATACGTCATAGATGATCGAAGGGTAAAAACCCAACGTCATTATTTTTTAAGACGTCATTGGAAAGTGTGCTTAAGTACCCACGCATTTTTTTTTAATTCTGAGTAAGCGTCTAGCCTTACACGCCATGGAAGATGTTTCACAATCTAGTCTAGGGGATTTCTTGTAAGATTTGAAGTTCTATATAAACGGGGTTTTTTTCAATGCAATAGCTACGGTGAATTGTGTACTGGCTAACTGTCTGCATATAATAACGTAGGAACAAGGTTTAATTTTAATGTCATATGTTTCATAATAAGTCCGATTTCGTTTCCCATTTAACGTCTATTCTAGTAAAACAATAGTTTATTGTTTATCTAGTTGCAATAGGGGCAATAAACACTGCTAGCATGAGTTTACTAAATACAGTTTTTGTCCAAAATCTATCTCTCCTTAGTCTATTCAGCCGTCTTGGTGGACTATCATCATCATAATATGTTGTCCTATCACCTTAGTACGCCTCTCTAAGCACGTGGTCACTCATATCTACACGTATCAGCGACAGAGGCTGGATGTCAGGCGCTCCACCAGTCTACAACAAACAAACTGACAGTTTGCTTGCTCCATGTACACATTCATACGTGGCACCTTCGTGTTTTGTACAGGGCTGCTAGATCATCGTGATTTTTCATTTAAAATTTTTATTAGTATAAAATATTTATTAAAAAACTATAATATTCCCGCGCTATAAGTAGACTATTCAACACTAAAAGTATTATTAAACTCGAATCAGCAGTTCCTGGGTTTAGTGTGTTTAACAAACTCTTTAGTTTTATAATATTAAAGTGTAGACTATTATACTGTATAGATATATTTGAATTCTTCAATAAAGGATATATTGTATTGACGTCAAATATATGATAGTCTTTTATTTGGATTATTTTAATTTGCACTGTAGTCACCTCAATTAGTTTATGTTTAAGGAAACAATTGGTATACATTTAGGTAGCTACAACTCTATAGGAGGTGTACCTACGTCAATTCAGGGAAGTTATTTTAGGTTTCAATCAAATATCAAAATAATTTAATTGTTAACTTGTTATTGAAAATCCAACCTAATAATAAGTTATAATTAGTACAAAATCAGGCTTTTAAAAATAAATAAGGAAAGAGTACAATTATATATATAGATATTAAAGATGGCTTTTAATTTTAGTAACTGCTCCGCTTGACTTAAACATTTAAAAATGGGTTTCAGCTCATAGTTCGGGCAAACCCTCACCGTTCTTTTATTTAAAATAATAAAATTAATTACTCAGGATCTGCAAAATACACTTTTTCATTTACTAAAAATAGTATAAAACCTCGTGCTATATTCATAAAATAACTCCAGTAACCTTACCTAGAAGGGACACTATAGCAATGAGCATATGGATTCAATGCCGAGCGAAGGGGCGCGGCCCATTACGATCAATTGAACTCCTTCCTCAGACGATGTCACATGTCGCCTACATTCGTTTCAATTGCATTCTCAATCTGGAACGGACAAACAGACATACCTATAGACGGATGAACTAATGTGAAGTTGAACCTTGGTGTCTAAGAAATGGAGGTGTTGAACTGTATTGTAGAGAATGATTGCAAAGTAGAAAAAATGATATGTTATAGCGATTTTAAAATAGGTAAAGAGACTTCATTGTAGGCATTGAGGAAAATATTCCTAAACAAATCGAAACAGCATTTAGATTTCTTCTGAAAAACTTGACTAAAGCTACGATTAACTCAGGCGCATGCGTTCTTACGAAACTAGGAGTCATACAAGCTTCGTCTCAACCATTTGAGTGCAACGAACTGCATCCAATCATTCAATTCATCCAATCTACCACCCAAGCCATCTTGACTCAGTATCTACCAACGAATACGTATTTAAAAGCAACTACTAGCTTCTACCAGCAGCATGTTCCAGAAAAAAAGCCTATGTGTAACTCCAATCTATCACCGCATCGTATTTCATTCAAATCTACTCAGTAGTTTCTGACAAAAGAATGATATCCACACAAACTGTCACATTTCTGTTAAAATTACTAGGATCACTAGATGATTCATAAATAATCACTATTTGAAGCACTATAAAAGGGTTTAGTGCTTGTAGTCTGATACCTAATGCAGACGGCTTCCTTCCGTTTTTACTTGGCACTTGAATGGAATAACAATAGCCCATATTAATACGTATTTTATTAAGTTCTTATGCAGTTTTTATGACGTCACTCAGTCTGTAGTTCTCGAAATTATTTCATCCAATCGGTTTAACTGTTTCAGAGAATAGAATAGCGAATTGTTTTACCCATACTTTGTAGTGTAGATCGTAATTTTAAGCTTCTGACTCGAAATCACAGGAAAATGTACTTTACCTATACTGAAATTAAAGTGAAAAGGCATTGTGTTTACCGTTAAATATTACAACTTTTTATCCTTTTATACAATATACAAACTACCTAATTAATGTTGAAGTTCTTGTGTTCGGCCAACCCTGTTGCTATCAATAAATATGAAAAGCAATGACTGTATACTTACTTCACCTCTTTTTATGAATGACATAGTTTTCCTTGTGACTTCAGCAGACCACAGTTATTTGTGCTCGTTTTTATATTATTGTGGTCAAATTCAGAGTTAAAATACTAAGTGAATGGTACTTACAAGGATTAGGTAATTACACCATAGTATTTTAAATATTGTGAAGCTAAGCTTTATGTATTTGTTGTAACAAGTTGTGCAGGTTAAAGGAAAATTCTCGAATAATATCCTCATTTAAGCCTATTTCTGTGGTCTGATACGACTGTAATGGTGTCATGTTGTTTACCTGTTGCAACTTCTGACATGTATTGTTTATTTATTACACTGTAATATTACGTTATGCTTGTTTTGTTAGTGATTTAGGTAAATGTGTGCATTTTACTTTGTGTTTTCACCATATAAGTAGTTATGGGACTTTTCATTCAGGTTTTATAATAGGTAGGTACTTACCTAATTGTAACTTGTATGACGATCGAAACAATTTGTCCTGGGTTTGTAGTATTTGTATGACAAAATACTGAATTACTGATAATTCAATCCCGTTGATAAATGACTTATTCATCATTTGCAAAAAAATATACATAAATTTGAAAGGTACGCAAGTCTATGGACTTGTACCTTCTGTCTCGTCAGTAAACCATAACGAACTATCTCGATATCCAATGTTTATTATGTTAATCAAAGTCTCGTGTTTATTTATCTATGCTAATCCACCACTTAATTATTCGATGCAATACGTCTTGTATTTGTGCGAAATATATTCAGCGAGGTCTTTTTATTTAAACGGTTGTATAAACGCCTACGAGAAGTCGCAAACTTGTTTAAAAAAAAACATTTTTCGACGATACTAAAGAACGTCCCTTTTGTAACACTAACAACAAATTATATTTGCGTAGTTAGTTCCACAAAAAAGGCGCTGCCGTCGCTTTTGGAATTACGTAGTTTCAGACTGGCATTATATTCTCTCGTTCTCAAGTTGTAAATCATTCAATCAACAATTTGTTCCAGTCATTATTTTACAGTGTACATGTAAATTATATTGGACAGTAATACAGCGTGTATAGATTATTTAATTCTATTGCTTTTATCATAATAATATCGGTATTATTACAACCATAAGTGCTTTGTTGTTTAGGCGATGTTTTATCGACATTTTAATAACGTAGTATTATGTTGTAATATACAATTTCTCGGTATATTCTAAATTAAACATTAAGTCTTGATGTCACTATACTTTTGATATTAATTTATGATATTTTCTTGTCAACAGAGCGAGCAATCCTCGCCATTCCGTCGCTGGACCACGGGCAGCGGCGCAGGCAGCTCCTACCGCCACCACGAACACCGCAACATGTATAATAAGGTAAACTTTATTATTTGAACAATTGCGTTGATATTTCAATTAAAACCTAACATCAGGTAGATACCTAATAACAATAAGTTTTCCCAATCGTATCAATTGTATAAATAAACGTATTTGCATCTTTAACTTGCGTCTTTGGTGGGTATACACTTTTTGAGTTTTCATAATCTATTTGTCTTACCATAATCTTTGTATGTGAACAGCAAATGAGCGAGGGCGCAGCGCCAGTGGCGACCACAAACGGCGGCGGCTCCAACGTGTCGCGCTGGTCCCTGGGGCTGGAGCACCTGCTGGCAGACCCTGCAGGGTTCGAAGCCTTCGCTCACTTCCTCGCCAAGGAGTTCGCCGCTGAAAACATTCGGTGAGACCCTATTTCTGGTACAAGTCTCCTTCTTGAGGGATTTTAAGTGGGATAGCAGTGGATGTGACTGTAAGTTAATGCCATAGAAGAATGGGATTATAGCTTTTTTTCTTTTATAGACTCTCAGCTTCTTCATTTTCAATTGTAAAAATAATTATTTAAAATGTATTAAGTTTATCTTTATTGTATAGAAAGTGAAGTTTCAAAACTAGACTATTAGAAGCCATTGCAACTTAAACTAAAGTTTTGCTTCTCTCCTACAGTTTCTGGTGGTCATGTGAGCAGTACAGCGCTATATCAGAGCCAGAACGTCGCGGTGCACTGGCAGCTGAGATCTGGCAGCGCCACCTGGCGGACAAGGCGCCGGAGCCCGTCAACGTGGACGCGGCCGCCCGCCGCGCCGCTAAACTTATGTTGGAGACCCATCCACCACCAGCCGAGCTCTTCCAACAGGTACTTAGGAACATATTTCTTTCTTCTAACTTTAAATCATTTATTTATATATATTTTACAACATCAAAATACAACTTTAGTCTCAAAACAGGACGATTTTCGACCTCGATATTTCAAGGTCCGAAGGAGGGCAAAGATTTTGAAAGTCCAAATTCGGATTAATAACAACAACATGACCAAAATGCCATGTCCATAATAATTTGCCCTCCTTTACATTTCGAACAATAACATGACTTGCGCAAAACGAGTGCAATTTAAGTACTTTACCTCTATAACATATGACAAAATTATAGCATATCTAGTAAGATCCTGTTAACAAAACGTAATCAATCATCGAATACTTGTAGATTGTATCTCTAAATGCATCATAATGTAGTTGCCAACCTATTCTCAAAGTCAGATGAAGTTCAAATACCCGTACACAATCTGGTCACAAATACTTTTACGTCCACCTTTCCTTTTTCCTCATATCATTTCATTTCCAAGGGGGTCACACATGAAAAGATAAAAATAACAAATCAGATGACAATATTACCTACTTCTTTGTCAGATTTTAGTTTTTCAAGTATTTTTCTCTGATAAAATCAAAAATCGATTTATCATGCAATGTGCATTTACGCAATGAATATCTATAAACACTAGATGCGTGAAATGTTTGATTGATCACATCAATTAATATGGCCGTTAAAATTTTACGTGGTAATTGCAATTGCTGTTGATTTAGCAACCGTGTTATAAGTTACTATTACAAATACATGTCTAGCATACTATTATTTGGCGGAAGCCTGAGAACTCGTAGCAATCTTTTCTATCTGTAATTAACTCGTCGAGTACCGGTTTTATAGACACAATTAAAGAACAGTAGGTCGCGGTCACCGGTGACCGCTTGGTATTTGACAGTTTAAACTAAGCATGACTTTAACTTCGCCCTCCATTTGGTAGTTACATGAGATTTTATGAATGTATGTCTTTTTATTTTAAATTAATGACTATACTAACAGATATGTATTTGTTTCTCAGGCTCAGAAGCAGATCTTCAACGTGATGAAGTTTGACAGCTACCCTCGTTTCCTCCGCTCCAGTATACACGCGGAGTGCGCCCGCGCAGACCTGCGCGGACAGCCGCAACCTTACGCCCCCGCCAGGGATAATAATGCTGAACCTACTAAGGTAAAATAGACATTAAATATATTTGTTTTTTTAGGAACAAGTTGGACAATTTTGAATTTTAAAGACTTTAGCTTAAGGGATTTTTAAATGGTTATTTGGCCAACGGTAAAATTCAATAACTACAGCACCAAATCAAAAATTTCTTGCCGCTATTGCTAACTAACTTTTATTCAAGTTTACGGAAACTAGATTAAAACCTTTAGTCCTTAAAAAAATTACCATAGTTATCAACTAACAAAAGTTTTATTTCTTTACAGTTAAAGAAGTCAGATAGCAATGCGTCCGAGCGGCGTCGCAGCGGCGGCGGCTCGCTGCTGCCGTGGAAGCTGCGCGCCGGCCGCGACCGGCCCGCCGCCGCCGCGCTAATGGAACCGCCGCCAGTCACTGATGTACGACATACTTTTGTAATATTATACATGTTAAAATGTGTATCTGTTTGTTTGTACGTCTTTCACGGCCAAACGGAGAGAGGAATGACGTGATTTTTTAAGTGTAGATAAAGGGATGGGGAATCACATAGGCTATAAAACATTGCGTTTCGATTAAAAGGAGCTAAACAGCGAGTGAAATCGCCCGATAGTATACTACACTCGATTTAATTCGGAAAATAAACTCTACATAACTATTCTCCCTTCTGCAGATAACATACGATTTCCACTTGTCGGTACAAAAAATAATAGTAAACTATATTAATTTGTATTAATATATATATATTGTGATTAAATCGGAAAATTATGGCTAAGGAAGAATGCAATACAAAAGTCTTGCATGAACAAATATTGAAATGACAATAATTATGATAATTTTCCTTCACTTCTAATTAGCAAAACATCTATTGAGATGTTAATAGATAACCAGTTTTAACTAGTTTTACTATAAGAAACAATTGAATAGATCACGACGCTCAAATATGCACAGAAACACACCATGTTGTATGCACGGAAAAACACGACACTATCACTATACCAAGCAAATATTGGCCCTCTGTGCTCACAACTATTATTAGTATTAGTAATTGTACAAATAATAACGTAATTTCTCATAATATTCTGTCTATTCATCGTACAACAGTATCGTTAGACAAATATTGTTGAACTATAAATATTAGGTGGATAGATATTGGTAACATTAGATAAGTTAAATTTACTAACATAAGTTAATAGAAAGTTGACATTTATCATGGTTATTTAATTTCTTAGTTTATAGTATCTATTTAGTGCAATGAAAAGCAGATCTTAGCTTTTATGACTGAACATTCAATTTCCTTTTCGTGATGAGAAACTTTTATGATATTTTTCTAAACATTTACTGGGTTTTTAAAAAATTCTCAGTAGAAACACGGAGTCTGAAAATGTGCCCGGTATATGGCAATAGGCTCACCCCCTATTACATGGGACTCATAACATAAATAGTGAAAAGTGGGTGTTACATTGTACAGTGACATAATGTGCACCTCTGCCTACCCCTTCGGGGATAAAAGGCATCATGTTATGTTATGTTATATATGTTATTTTTCTAAACATTAAAATTATAATTATGAACCATGACAGCACAAGATCTTAGTTGAACAGCAAAATAACACCATTATCACCCTTCTAAACAGATATAGAAAACTATAATTATCATCTGTAATATAAATCATTATGGGTTCACGATGAGCGCGCAGAAAGTTTTCCTAACCATCGAGTCACGAATGTGCAAATATCAAATACGTTTTACTTAGAAATTGAACAATATTTGTACATACAAGTATATAGGAGTATATAACGTGTTTATTTATCAATAAATGTAGGTAATTGTGTACAGAGTTCCATTCTAAAATTATTGCTAATGTACTGTTTGAGTTTGCTTCAGTTTATTGATTGTGTGCGGTTATTTATGTGGAAGATTTTACTTTTACTGTATTGTCATTGTTTTGCTAGCCAGTGACATTATTAGTTACTTTCTAATGATGGTATATTTGTTTTTTGCACCCAGTTTTGGCGAGTTTTTTGTCACGAATATAAATCGAATACAAGGCTTACATACTAATTTTACTTTACATAATATTTTCTCCTCTATTTACACTTACAAACAAACATTCAATAAGCCAATTTAAATAACAAAACATTAACAATATTTTTTCCATTGTCACCAGGTGGTGAAATCCAGTCAATCAGTTCCTGGCCAGAGCTTGTTATGTCGCGTGGTACTACCAGATGGCGCCACGTCCGTGGTGGGAGTGGACGACTCCATGACAGTACGACGACTGGTGGACCGACTACTGCAGAGGAGGAACCTGCCCTGTACCAACTATGATGTACTGCTTAAGGATGCTAATCAGGTAAGGAACAAATTATTTGGCAAATGAGCAGACATATCCCTCTGATGGTAAGCGTTAAGCCGTGGACTAGATAGTCACAAGTGCCTTGTCAGCCTTCTGTGTTCTTAAAGAATTTTCCATCCTTTTTCGAGTACAAATAGACTACAGGACAAGGTTACCCATTCTTCGCTTGCCATGTACAAATCCTATGTAAGCTTGTTCTTATAACGAATACTATTGGACACAATTTTCAATTCACTGGTGACCGCTCTCCACTAATTACATTATAGACCTTATTTCCAATGTTCAGAGTCTACTTTTGTGTGAACAAATTTAGGGGATGGATTTCAACAGGTTAGCGTGATTTGAAAGATAAATAATGTCATGTATCTGCAAAGACACTGATGTTTTCTATTCGTCTTAATATGGTACAACAGCCATTAAACTCGCAGTTTTCTTTGTGCAGGGTACATCGACGGCAGTGGAGCTGTCGTGTCCGTCGTCGGTGCTGGGCGGGCGCGAGGCGCAGGTGGAGCGGCGCTGCGTGGTGCGGCTGGAGCTGGGCGCGCGCGGCGTGGCCGTCCGCTGCGGCCCGGCGCGCCGGCTCAGGCACGTGCTGCGCCCCGTGCTCGCCAAGTACGCCGCGCCGCACCCCGCCAGGGTCGTGCTTAGGGATGGAAGGGCGCTGAATCCTGATACACTTATGCAGGTATGTTTCACTCAGTTTTTATTTCTTGTTCGTGTGTGATGATACCTTTCAGTAGAAATTATCAGTAAAAAACTTAGTCATGACCAGTTTTGTAACTTATACTACGAGCTACTCATGATTAACAGTCCAAGTTGTTGCACTTTAAACTTCATTATACAAAAGTCATTTTAACCCTTTGAGTACCGTCATTATAGACACAATTAAAGAACATTAGGTTGCGGTCACCGGTGTCCTCGCGTTGTTTGACAGTTTAATAAACCGTTCTTTCCAATACAAGACCGAAGTAAAAATAATAATACCTCTTTTGTTTCTAGGAACTAGACGGCTCTCGTCTCCAAATAGTGGAAGTATCAGAAAACGGCGAGTACCGCGCCACTACAGCGGAGCCCCGCGAAGTCGATGATGATACCGACTCACTCAGCGACCTCGCCGTCAGACTGCAGGACGACGCCATGAGACAACCTGATGAAATGGTGAGCAAACCTGCGTTAAATATTACCTAAATTGATTCAATTTAATAATTCAAAAGTCAAATCAAGAACCGTAAAATCGTCTGTTTTGTGCATGTTGACCATGCCATAAATTGCTTGGTAAATAAACAATAATGAAATTTCCAATAATCCCTTGTTAAACCTGTTCAACATTATTAACAAAACACTTGTCGTCCCCACAGAGTGTCGGCACGGCCAGTGGCAGTAGTCGCGGCAGTGGCGGCGCGGGCGGACGAGTGCGCGCCGCACTGCGGCCGGGACCTCCGCTGCATCATCATCCACCTGGTCAGTATATATATCATTATGACTCAAGCATTATTCAAGTAAAACAAAGTACTATGTAGTTTCAATTTAGTTTAGTACAGATTCTTAGTCTTTTATGAGATCAGTTTTATCTTATAACTGTTTGATTAACCGCAATTTTTCTCCAGCAGATTTCCTCGCGAATCTACGAGAGACGCAGCGGCAGATGCTACAGAACAAGGGTTCGACGTCTCCACCCCCCTCCCCGGGGCCGACGCCCCGCTCCCCGCCCCCGCTGCCCCCCAAGCCGACCCAGCGCGTCCCCCCCACCGTCGTCTGAAGGCAGCCCTCGCCCGCGCCGGCGCATGATCACACGCACGACTTCTACAAGTCACAACTTCGGGACCGAAGTAGCCGACCCACTGCTCACAAGACGGACGGAATCCGTCGATAACTCAGTTTCTGACACAACTGAGACTCATGAGCCATGTCGGCCCCCTTACCTAGACTCCACAGTCAAGGATTGTCGAATTACTTCGAACACAACAAACATTCTGAGTTAACATATCTCTTGTACTATAAAAAGCTCTACACCGATGAGAATGTTCAAGGAATTGTGTAAATATAGCTGTTTAATGTACAAAAATTTGCCATCGTATGATCCTAAAGACTAATGGCGTAGCGGCGATTTACATTGAAATATAAGATTATCTAAACATCTACTAATGCGACAATAGCAAAAAGACATACTCCTTGAACCAAAGTGTTTTTGTAATTTATATTGCAATGTAAACGCCTGTGCAAAGCAAAGATCACGTAAATGTAGCTATAATAATGTACATTAACATTATTTGTATCTAAATACAATATTTGTATTAATTTTGGTGCCTTCCATAGATATAAGACTGCACTAACTTGCGGATAAATGGGAATATTGTAAAATGACTCGTTTACACAGAAGAGCATTTTAATATATCATTAGTTCCATTGTAAATAAAAAATTGTAAAGAAATTGTTAAAGAATATATTTTATGTCGATTTTCATGAATGAATTGTGTGAAATCGTATTTAGACTGAATAAATGAACAAAGAACATAGTTTAAATTCAAGATTAGTTTGAAACATGACTTTTAAATCTCATATTTTGAATCTTTTACCCATTTTGTGGATGTAAGGAATCGATTTTATTGAACTTTGCATTTAGCCCCACAACCCAGTGACATGTACTTCAAAACGATTCAAATGGCAGTTATTTTGATGTTCATAGATAACATTTTATGTAACAACTATTAAACTGGCAATAGTTGAAAAGACAAGGAATATTTTGATGTACACAGAATTTTGTGATTTAGTCCCAACGCTTTAGAGAAAACAATTTTAACTTTTATTCAGCGAATTATTTTCTTGTCTTTGTCAAGTTTAGAAACAGTTTCATATTCCTACTAACAGAAACGTTTGCCCAATAGTCAAGTAAATAATTTATTTAGATCAAAGCGAATTGTTTCGCTGAGAATAGATTTTATTGAAATAAAATGATTATTGATAAGATTTGTTGGTTTTATTTAATTACTCGTTGATACCATCTGCCTATTTTTTTCTTATTTTTCTTCTTTAAAAAACGTTGCCCCACACTAAGGTTATCTCCTGTGTCGTGGGTGCGTTTATAAACATACAAGTTCACATACACATGACACCCAGACCCGAAACCGTGCGGGAATCGAACCCGCGACACGTTGCACGGCAGCCGGTTGCCCAGCCACCGCACCAACCATGCAGTCAAATATTCGTCTACTACAATAAGGATTTAAGAAAATAATGTGTGTGAATGTATGTTATGTTCGCCTGTGAGTTGTGATAGCGAGACGGATACTAAGAATGGCGCTGAATAAATGGTCTGATATGAATCAATTCCAGTCTCACAAGTCATGCACTCTCTTTACATAAGTCTTTATCCTATACTTATTATCACTCTTTGGTATTTACTTATGAAATTGGTTCTGGTAATTTCAATACAAAATAACTTTTGTTTGGCTAAGAATTCTAATATCAAATGAATTTTATTAGTGTCCGACCGAAACTAGTTTTACGACCGAAACCGAAACCGAAAATGAATTTCGGCAACGGTGTCTATTTCGGCCGAAACCGAAACCGAAACTTCCTTACGAGGCTCATATTTTGAGGGAAAAATAAAGAAAACGTTATTACAATCAGTCAGTCTTTATTGTTTCTCTGTTTATGGGGTCTCGGGTTCGATTCCCGGGTCGGGCAAAATATTACTGGGTTTTTAAAAATTACTTGTAGTAGCACGGAGTCTGGAATTGTGCTCGGTATAAGGCAATCTCACCCCCTATTAAATAGGACTCATAACATAAATAGTGAAAATTGGGTGTTATATTACACAGTGGCATTAACTGCTGTAATGTGCACCTCTGCCTACTCCTTGGGGGATAAAAGGCATGATGTTATGTTATGGAATATGAGTACCGTCGTGGCAGCGACGCGGCACAAGCGGCATGTAACATTAACGACGTTTACGGAGCTAGCACTACTAACCAACGCACCACCTGTTATTGGTTTGCTCGCTTCCGTTCTGGAAAGGAGATCATTTTACCACCTTCCAACTCCTACTTCGTACTTTTCAGTCAGTAACGGTCTGGCACTCCTTTCTACTTCCCCAGGACGAGAGAAGTCAGTTGAAGATATTCTAACAAAAAAAAAAAAATTATGGCATAATCCGGTAAACGAGCGGACGGATCACCTGATAGTAAGCAATTGGCGTCGCCCATGGACACCTGGAACACCAGAGGCGTTACAAGTGCGTTACCGGCCTTTTGGGGATTAGGAGTTTGAGGATCGTTGGGGATTCAGGAATTGGGGAGATTGGCGAAGGGGAGGGTAATTGGGCCTCCGGTAACCTCACTCGACGAAACACAACGCAAGCGTTGTTTCACGGTTTTCTGTGAGGCCGTGGGATCACTCCGGTCGAGCCAGCCCATTCGTGCCGAAGCATGGCTCTCCCACTCTAAATAATAAGACGATTGTGAAAACTTTTCACATTATTATCACAATTGCCTCAGATCCTTTATTCTAGCAATATCGATCATTATTTTGCGTTTCCTAGTATCTTAGAAAGCAAAAATTGTACGAAACTTATGAATCTTCAAAATGGCATAACTTCTTCATTTTGGATTCTATAACTTTTATGCCTTAATATTATTGCTCCACCATTTCTTCTACAATAGTGTACCATTTCTTTTCTTTTCGTTCGTTTTACTTTCAGAAAAGGCGAATCTCCTTTCGACTTTAGTCGACAATGACGAATTAAAGGCGATTGTTAAAGCTCATTTGATGAAAAACTTCAACGTGTTTGTTTTTTTTACCAATAGTAAGAATCAGAATCTTAGTAAGAGTAGTGCAACTGGCTCAAATGTAGTAATGACGCCATCTAGCAATCTGGTTAGATGATAGAATTAAGGTAAGGTTGATGTGCCTTTATGATCGATAGATGGCGAAACACTCCATGACTTTCTGTAAGGAAATAATTACCTTACAAAATACTTAACATTCTACATACATAACTTCACGCCTGTCTCCCATGGGGGTAGGCAGAGACTAAGGAACGCCAATTACTACGATTCTTACATACCTCTTTTGCTTCATTAACAGTCATCAATCTTTTCATGCATGCTCGTCAGTTAAGGGTACTTTTAATTTGGCCCTTCTTTAATATATCGCCAATCCTTCTTTAATACTTAACATTCTCACTACGGAACTGGAAAATAAAACATCAAAAACTACTGTACACTACATTTTATTTACAAATCTACAACTCATTTATCAGCGATAGCGGGCGCAGGTTTCCCCGTAAGTTCTGGTGTTGTGGTCGTAGGTGCAGGCTCCTTTGTCTCTGTTCCTTCTACTTTGACAACTTCTGGCTCTGGTTCAGGCATGACCCTGGTCAACTTGGAAGGTTCCTTGGGTGGAGTCCAATCAGGGATGATCTTATCATGGATACGCCAAGTTCCGTACAGATTGGACAGATGTTTCTCAAAGACTATGTATTCCAGAACATCTTTAGATAAGATCTCGCTGCCGTGTAGAAGGCGACCGAACCGATCGTACACTGCAAGCTGTTGGCGTGTGTGGAAGCGTACTGTGACCTGTATAATACATATTTGTTAGCTTACATGACAAATGTTCAATAAGACTGGATGAATTTACTGAAGAGGTAAAAGAAATTGTCTCAACTGTGTCGTTGAGAGAATGTCTTTTATCTCTTTTCATTTACATTTGACAAGAATGTAGGCCTCGCTAGTTTTAGAGGTTCATACAGAATACGGACATTTAGCAAAGCATACATGATACGGAATTTGGATGAGATCATTACATTACGATGATTGGAAATAGATCATAAAGAATCTCTAGCATTTTAAACTATGAATACTATAAACAAACCTGTCCAAATATATTCTCCTTGCTAACAACATCAGTGCACCGTGCATGCACCACTCTGGGGGGCTCCAGCGACTCAATAAACTTCCACCTGATAGTTTTCTGATGAGAATTATGTCTGAATTCCGGATATGCCTTTTCTGTCACATAAGTTCTCAGAGCCCTCTTATCATTGTTTGCGAGACTTTCGTGAGCCTTTATATAAGTGTCTTGAGCTTTTAGAACAAACTCCTTTTGATCAAATTCCTCTTCAAAAGATTTAATTTTCCGTATCGCCATCATGGACTTTGATTTCTTTTCAAGAAGTTCTACAGCTTGCTTGGCACGTGTGGGGGAGACCAGAGAGGCTTTGCCATCACCTTCTGGTGGAACGTAGGGTTCAAAAACACCACCTGTAATTTTACAACAGTTGTAATTTAGCACATATATATGTATTTAAATTTTAATTTTTACTAAATTTTTCCTCCTCACACTAGGATGTTCTTATGTGTTGTGGGTGCGTTTACCACTTGACACCCAGACCCGAAACAATAATTTATGGATCATACAGAGTTGTTCCGTTCGAGAATCGAACCCGCGACACATTGGCAGCCAGTTGCCCAGCCACTGCACCAACCATGCAGTCATGTTAAAACATTTACAAATATCTTTATTGCAATTGGAATGAAAACTTATATTAAACTGTCAAACACCGCGAGGACACCGGTGACCACAACCTATTGGTCTTTAATTGTGCCTATAATGACTGCACTCAAAGGGTTAACCCACAAACACAACCAATTATTATGGATCTATTTACACCATGAGATAATACATGACTTATGGATCTATTTACACCATGAGTTAATACATGACTTATTAGCTCCGCAATAATAAATTTCACATTGTTACCCGTAGCAGAAATGTAAAAGGGTCGCTCCATCCAAGGTCTCGGCGGCAAAATGCCGCGCTCCTTCATCTTCTGCCTGACCTTACTAGAGCTGAGTGAACCAAAGTCTTCATTTGGATCTGGTAATTCAACCTTCAGGTATTTCTGAGCCCTGAGCTTCTTGAACTTTGGTATATAATGTTTAGTTGTTGTAGTACGCGACGGCTGTGTTAAAATTATTGGGGATATGCGCAGAGCGCTCATCTGAAACAGCAATGTCATTTTTATCATCCAACCATTTTGATCTGGTTCTGAATTATCATTATCAGGTTATGTTTTAAACACAAGTTTGTGTCACGACAACTTAGTATTTATTAATATTTTGTTTGTACATCAGGGTCTCGTACATAAAATTAAGCTGAACTATAAGAAAAAAAAAATATAATTCGAAAAAATACCTTTGAAATTAAAGAGTTCGCCATCATTGTTCTTATACTTAATAATATTTGTTGGTTACTACCAAAAAGATAGTATTGAATATTTTCTAGTTAAGGGAAACTATTAATCCATTACATTTCTTTCATTAATTACTTTCTGAAAAACCAATTTATTTTCTATTTCCTAACCTAAAAAAACAAAGCACTGACAGATGAAACGAAACGTAGTATAGATAACAACAAAAACTCAGTTCTTCCTAATGAAGAAACGAATTTTGAAATGTAAAATAAAATATAATTTTAGCGTTATTTATTATCGTCATTAATTAATTCTTTTAAATGTTTGCAATCTGTTTTAAAATATTTATCATTTTAATTTTGCGGGAAGTAAGCATAAGTGAATACCCGTGCTCGCGCAGGTCATATGTTTAAAAGTAAAAAATGTCTATGGTGTTTTGTTTTTTCTGCCATTTTTAGTCAAATACTTTCCATTCAAATTGTGATTTTTTAATAAAGTGATACAAAATTTATCAAATTTATTGTGTCGTCTTTTAAAATATTTTTATTTTTATTAAACTTTAGATTGTGCTGATATATGACAATATTGTAAATTTTTATTGTTTTGTCTTTCGACGCATTTCTGTCTCTTCGGAGCGTAATACGTGCTTACTTCAGTTATTTTACATAAATATAAGTAAATCCCAGAAACAGTACTAATCATATTGTTTGAAAGGTATCAGCATAATACTTTAGAAAGGAAAAGGCTCCAGCAGATTTGAATCGATCGTCGCGACTCAACCGGAAATCCGGCGACTCCATAGCCACACACGTTGTCTCTAGCACAGGGGAATAGAGATCGTCGCAGCGTTTCTTTCTTTTCTGAACAGGCGCAGTCCTAGAGAACTCGCAAAAGGAGTAAAAGGCTCCTACATAACCTGTCAATATGTAAGTATCAGTGCACATACTACTTTATAGCGTGTCGTTGCTTTGTTCGATATTGAGATTCGTGAATCTAAACTCCTTGGAGTCCTTGCTGAGTCATAGCCAGGTGATCTCGTTATCGGGTTGTGGAATATTCCTTCTGGAAATTGATTCAGCAGTGCCGATTTACTAGAAGTAAGTGAAGCGTATTTGGAAATTTGGACGCCATAACAGTAGGACGAAGGGTCGAGCCTGGGGTTGCGTGGCGCACCGCGGGCGATGACCTTATAACGGAATGGACCTTTATTAATTGCCACGTGTTGTTCTTTTCAGCAATATATTGTATGAGTCAGAAGGTAGAAAAACCAGTATTATCGGGTCAACGGATCAAGACCAGAAAAAGAGGTAAGTGATTTTTAACTTGAAATTTGGACACATGCCCAGATTCCTTGTTTGCGTCCCGGGTCAAGTTATTCGAAGTTAGCTAATCTTGTATTGGGTGGAAGACGAGCTTGGCGTATAAACATCGAGTCGTTAATTTAATAACGTTCGCCTTGGCCGTGACATTGTACTAGGCATTAATTTCCTAGGCATGTTTCTTTGTAGAATGTTGGTAATCATTGAGGAAGTAGGCCACATGCTGTAGTTTCTCAAACAATTACTTACTGTGCCATTTAATTACCACTTGATGTTGAAGTATCTGTCCACTCAAATGAAATTGTATTTTCCAGTCATACAATAGATATTTTCCAATTTCATCAAAATCGCTTTGTGTTGTATTTTGTGGAGTACATACTTTATCATTCATATTGTCTCAAATACCTACTTGATACAGGTACCTTTAAGTGTGGTATCTACTGCTCAAAATATTCTTGATTACGAAATGATTTCATCAATAAATCAATGGATGCTTAAATTACCAGAAGCAAATGGTTTTTTCTAATTTATAAATTTTGTTGTTTACAATAAAATACATTAGTAATTCTTATTATTGTATTATAAAACCTAACTCAATCATTAATAACTAAATTCATTGTGTAATTCTAAATATTTATTCATTGACTCATTTGTAAATCTGTTGAACATATTATTATATACCCAAAATTACCTATCAACAATATCAATTTATTTTCTTGTTACAAAACAATTAGGTTATGTGTGCATGCAAGGTTTTTTCATAGACAAGCCATTTAAGTCTAATAGACACATCCTACTACTTTTATTCTGGCATTGACAATTGATGTGTTCAGCCTACAGCAACTGGCAAGTTGAGGTATTGTGACCTCAATCACAATAGAATTGACTTTCTCTTGGCAATTTGGAACTGTAAAATGTGACGAAACACTTTCCACGCAGAATTGAACAGACATATTTATTAAACTGTTTTTTGACCTATTTACATTATAATTTTAGTGAATTTCTATTCATATTGAATATTGTCTGATATTGTCAAAGCAGAAATCTATATATTTTATCGTATAATCCTACATTTAGACTTCAAAGTTTTGGTATATCTTTTCCTTTTGTTGTTTATTTCCTCTTTAATAAATTAATCCGTGTTTTCGTATTAAACTTACTCAGGTTTTTAGTATAATTAAACATCAGGTTGTTGAACTAAGTTCAATGCCTTTTCAAAAAACATTCAGTCACCTAGCCATACTATTATGTATGATTGATTTAGTATTTGTTCAACATAACCTCCAATAACTAAGCAGTTCTATATTTTTTTAGTAACTTAGAATATTTACCCAGTTAGTAATAAGACAATATAACAATATCTTGAGACATTAAGGATTTCATAAAAATCGTGATGACGTCGCGAGAATAATAAAAATAAAATAACCTTATCCAATAAAAAACACAATAAAAACGTATTATTTACAATGAGAAGAGTTTTCCACTGTAATTTACAAAGTCATTTTAATTGTGATAATATCTTGAAGTGTGACGCAAATAAACTAAATTGCTGGACACTCGCAATTGTTAAAAGTGGCCCTTGTCTTGACAAATATAGCTTGGACTTTGCACTGGACAACCGCACGATTGTCCTGATCTAAAACATTGTCATGTGTATCTATTTATTTTGTCAACTAACTTTTGACGCGGTTTTACTCACGCTCCTGGGTAGAATGTAATAAAAACTTTATTCAACAGTATGACAGGTCATTTAAGACCATTTATTTGTCACCCAGTTTTGCGAGGATAGATAGTCTTTCTTTTCAGTTTCACTGCTTACTTAAAACTTAAGAAAATAAGCATAATCATGCCATAAAGTTTGATCCTTTGCGTTTTTCTCCATGCAGGTAAAGCTTGCATACTTTTTATGTTACCTTTGATACCACTACTCGGATGTCTATGGTACCATTTTTTTTGGACAAGCACGCCGCTGCTTCCTTGAATTCACGTCTTTTGGTCACATTTGCAATGTCGCTTTTTTTTCTATACGTCGTGAATGATAGTCTATCGTATCTTCGTCTAGTAATTAGGCAATGAAATACCAAGCCATTAAACATGTACTGCACCCTTATCTTACAATGAATCATGTTTCCCAGAACACTTTCGTCAGTAGGTGCTTATTCTGAATCATTGGATTTTCATTGTTGTTGAGCTTGTTTATTACAATATCAAACCAAATATTTTGTAACCAAAACTTAAATGGTCCTGTCCTTATCCTATGTTTTATTGTCCTTCCAAAGTTACATTCTCTTTCATACAATTCTTTACCACAATCTCAATCTTAGATCGTCATTTTCTTCATCCTCTCACATTTTTATTTAACAATTTGCGTTATACAAATCTAAACATCATTCATAAAGCCAACTTTAAAACGTCACTCAATAAAAATCATGTTCACCATAATGGAATTCCGAAAAATCGTGAAAATATATCGAAGAAATAGTTGCTACCTTCTGTAAATAAAATTATCTATCCAATTAGAGTCAAGGGACCGAGCCAGTCCGAATGAGGTCAACCTTCCTTCGCTGCATAAATTATGCAAACTATTGCAGGAATTAGTCGCTCCGTACCTAACTTGATATTTCGTTATCTTGCTAACATTTTGTACAGCTTGCATAGTTGTAGCTACGGTAGTTTATCTTTTCTGGCTTCTCGTATCTTGTGCTGCGACCTTTGAAAAGAAATATAATCTATACCTTTGTTTCTATTATAACTTCACATTTGCAGACATGGTTTTAGGCTCTTACCTTATATATCTAAGGGACTAAGCTTCGTCCGAAGTCCTTCTTCTTTGATAAGGGAAAAAAGCGTAACACTATATTTTCACACAAGTCTTTGTTACTGTCTAAATGATCTAGTTAGTTGGAATACGTGTTGCGTAACAACTTTGCCCCCATTTATCCCGAATTCCCAAATAGGAATGTAGGGTCGAGAACATTCGCTCTGTAAGTGACGTCAATCGTTGCATTGGACACAAATATCACTCCCAGCCATCGTTGAATGATCCCTATGTACTTTTCACCACTTTAAAAAAGGAGGAGGTTCGAATTATTGTTTTTTATGTGTGTTCACTGATAGCGCCACCGTTTTTAACTCAATAATCTTAACTTAAGCCCGAAATAGGGTCTTCTAATATTGTAGGGATTTCATACAGAAATAACTAGGTAGATTAGGTTTTTGATGTATTTCTTAACCGAAAATCCCATTTTAAAGGTCTCTCTGGTCGTCCAAGTCGATACTCTGTAGTCTGTATATTGAAATTGTACAGGAATAGTAAAATTGTACAATTACAATACAGTACAATAGTAAATAGTACAATACATAGAACTGCCTATGTCCATAAAGGCTATTCTTATGTGGTACTCCTTCGAACAGTGTAGTAAACAGAAAAACTAGTTGCACGGCGCAGTAGTTTTATTTTGAATAAATAATATCAACATTATCAGACCCAAGTCCATATTATTATATTTGTCTGCAATTTTCCTGTTGACATCCAACCGACGTTTTCCTGTATTTTAAATTGAATAACGATTGAATTTTATATAATACCAGCCAATATCTTAAAGCTTTAGTCTTACAAATACGTCAATTCAAAGTAGGTAGCTTATTTCCACACAGCAAATATCTTCCTTTGTACGGAATCTTGGAATTTAACATTGCTTACGTAATTACAATCCTTGAGGAATCTGGTCGGTTGCTCAACTTAGCTCCCCACGCCTTGAAGCGACACAATTTCTGGAAAGTTCCGAATACATATTTATAAGTTTTTGACACAATTATATTTAGTAACTTGACTCATAAAATCTGACATTCTTCCCACTTGAAAGATTTCAGTAAGAAAATCCTTTATTGCCTACATTATCTTGCGATTTATTCAACATAATATACGTTATATATTCGAGCCAGGGCAACATCGCGTTCCCACACACGTGACGGTCCCGGCCCCGGCCCCTGGCCGTTACAGCAGTGTTCATGTAAGCCTCGTGCAAACATCTGCTCAAGTTATTCAGAGTTTACGACATCACTACCTATTCTGAATTGTGGGAAATGTTTCATTATTAAACTTGAAGCTTTTGTGGCCATTTCTACTACTGCTAAGCCTGCTAACTAGAATATTCGGTCCTGAAACCCTAATACTAGCCAACAAAACAGTTCCTTTTCTGACAATATTAAGTATATCATCTAATTTAGATGTCTGTATACTGCTACCCAGTGCCGATCAGTTGACGCGGTCTCCAGTAATATTCCACTGACAGACGCTAACAAAACGTAACGGTACACACACTAGCGGTACCATCCGTACAGTTGCTCGCTTATAAGGAGCTTTCAAACTGTTATACAACTTTTTATTTTACTTTTACATGCAACATTACTCTGAGTTAACGACAGCTGCCATTTTTATCCGAAAACTCTTCAAATTTTTGATCCACATTCAAACTATTTGTTACTGTAACTATTGCTGCTTTTTAAAAAATAAGCAGTGATGTTAAGTTTATATATTACCGGTTGGGTAACACTGGTTGACCTTGTTTCCATGTTAGCTTTTGGTCATCAATAGTAAAATTCTTTGATTGACTCATTATTTAAGATTGACTCACGAGCAGTCACTAAATGAATCATGAGAATCTATTGATTGATTTCGAGTGCAATTCTTTACATAATAGTTTCACACTCGCACAGGAACTTCAAAAGAGATATTTTATTTCGCCTACCCAGGAAGGTAGACATTTATTAAAATTACACGATATTAAATACTCAATTAAATCTTTTTACAATCTCGTCAAAATTTTCCTTTACGGTTTACACTTTAGACGGTTAAGTTAAACAAATTAGTAGATGGTTGCTAAAAATAGCACTTGTAATTCCAAATTATTATTCTCAACTTGTCCATTTTAGGCACGGAGCGTCATTCTGACGAACCTTTGACGTTCGTGTCTCGTCCTTCAAACTCGACCGCCGAAACTTTTAATTATAAACTGTTTAGGAGTTTCTAAGATTTGAGCTCGAACAATTTTCGTAGGCGTGGTTAATTGGAGTTTTTTAATACTTGCTTATGAAACATTTTTTGAGGTTATAATATTCAGTAATCCCGAAAAACCCTGAAGATATTTATTCTGTTGTATATTTGTTAATAGAGCTGCTTGTTGCTAAGCAAAAAACCTAAATTATAAGTTAAATAACTAGGTCTGTGTTACACCTGAATTAAATGCCCATTTTTATCATCTGTTATCATGAGACAAATAAAATTCAATGTCACGGAAGTTCTTCTACTAAAACAGTCATGTTTTGACTTGCTCTAATGAGTAAATGCGTTTCTAATGTAGAAAACATATTCGATAGCAATGTATTTCTAAATTGGCAAGAAATTAAGGTTTTGATACAATCAAAAGGGTTCCCGACATTAATAAAATACCAATTAGTACCGGTTTCGAAAATTCCTGTTATCAAACCAAATTTTAACTCACAACAATACAATTCTGTCGTTAAAATGGCTTCTCGTGAAATTAAATCTAGAATCAGTAAAAGCTACTAATTTACATAATAATGCTACCTTTACTATAGAGTTCGCATAAATAACATTCGACATTGGCATTGGTCAGACTTATGTAATTCCAAAAGACACAAAATGACGAGAAATGGCAAGGCCAAACATTTATTTTGTTGTAGATAGCTGACTACTAACTACATACCATTTAACAAGATGACATTATGGTCATGTTTGTTGTTTAATGCAAAGTATAATTTAGTTCCTTTTTCTTCCTTCTTCAAGCATAGAATCACCATAATCAGATAATATGCGGGACTTATTATCAAATAATCCATTAATGTTATTTCTTATAATTATATTCTTTTGTTATCTTCATTGTCTTTAGTATCCACGGTTGACCTTCGCCAATACCTAATGTAATCAAGAATTCTCACCTCCATGTCAAATACACGATTGTACGGATTTTTGCCAAACTCCACAATTGTTCTAATTTTGGCACATTGCCATGTTTATGTCAATAAACAGCTTTTTGTTTTGGCCACTGAAATAATTGTTTAGAATTAGATACACATGAAAATTATATAACAAAATGGCTGTTTTTGTTATGAATAGATAAATAAACTATACACAGTTTTATGTACGCTCCTTACGACCTGTGACTCCTTTGGTGTTATGGGTGTCCACGTGCGGCGCTGATCACTAACCATCAGGTGATCCGTCTGCTCGTTTGCTAGGAGGCAAACGAGCAGACTTCCATAAAAAAGGAAATACATAGTTCATTATTTATTTGATAAGTTTGCGAGAAATTATAAAGAAAGTAATCATGATGCATGACAAAATTCAATAACGTTGTAATTACATGGAATCCATCGACCTTTGACATTCTTAACTCTGTTAGCAGATATGTGATTTATTAATTTTATACGTAGTGAAAGTTATGTATATGAATCTTGCGCGATAAACTTAGACCTGCTGATCCCACGGGTATAATAAATCAGCTTAATGTTAGAAAGTTAACAACCTTTGTGGGCCCGTCATTGGAGGATCTTCTAAACTTGTGAATTTATTTAGAAATATGTAGTTACTTATTTTGACAAATATGTACTTCATTTCCAAAGTCAGATACTGATTATTAACTGGCTTATACATAAAATAAGAGGTTGAAGACCCCTAATCTTTGTTACTTGATGTGCTTTCTTGTATGATTAATGTGATCAAAGTGACAGTTGCTTGGATGGAAGAAATGAAATATTTAAAGTTATTCCACAGTTGAAATTTATCTGGCGTTTGCTATTATCCGCCCTAAGTAGCATATTTTTATTACGTAACGAACTAAGTACATGTCCAAACAGTCGTTTCTACGTCTCCTATCAGTTTCAACCTTAGTTTGATAACAATAAGCTTTAAATTACTTCCTTAAACGCAATCGTTTGCCGTTGGCTGATATTTTTTTTAAAGGAAATTATCAGTAAACTGGCCAACCGCCTTGTATGTATTATCGTACCAACCTATAAGTAGGTCGCCAAGATAACTTGAAATCAAAGTAGTCTTGGCAAATACTCCAATGGAATTACTGCTACAAAGTTGTAGTGTTGTAAACTTTTTGAGAAAACATTTTGAGGTTAAGTGCTAATATCTAAAATCACTGTATTAATTATTTATTTATATGGAAATTAACGGGTAAGTTACTAAGATACAAATGAATTTGCGTATTGGATACTGCGGTAACATTGTCATTAGCCTTAATATCCATTGCACAAATATCATTTTAGCTAGATAATGAAACCTGATGTCACGTTTGCCAAGGCGAGGTTTATTCTGTTTTCTGGCATGTTATCAAAATCCTGTCCTTTTTCGTTACCAAGCGTTTTATTCAAGGCTCGCACGGCTAAGCTAGCATTTTCCGAATTGAGGGCACCGTCCAATCATGTAACTGATGTAACTTTGTACAGGCGCTAGCACATCAACCTATCCACAATGTTTCAAGTTAGTTTTAGATTTTCGACTTTATTACAAAGTGACAGTGATGAAATCTAGTTGTCAGATGGTAGATTGACCTATTTATATTTGCACAACCTAACCTTTTCCAAATTGAAGGTTCATCGTCACATAACTACATGTTTAAGCTAAAGATTCTGTTATATAATAAACTTTTTCTTTTTTCCAGATGAGAAAGAGAAGTACGATCCGAACGGCTTCCGCGACGCGCTCGTGCAAGGTCTGGAGCGCGCCGGCGGTGACCTTGACGCGGCGTACAAGTTCTTAGACGCGGCTGGCTCGAAACTCGACTATCGGCGCTATGGCGAGGTCATATTTGACGTGCTCATCGCCGGGGGGCTTCTGCGTAAGTGACCCTTTGATTACTATTGGCCAGTGCGCCTGGCCATCTTTCAGGGTTCAATGTGGTGGAAGTATGAAGCCTATACAAATTTTGAGGTTATGTTACTGTGACAGCAATGCATTTGTCACCAGTCGCCAAGCTTTTTGCCATTGTATTGTCAAAATGTAAGATGCAGGTCGTTTTAAACCTGCCAATCGGGAAGTAATTGGCAGAGGCCTATGTTGAGGAGTGAATGTACTGTGGCCGACATGATAATTTTCATGGGCTACTTACTTACAACAACTTATCTAATCTGATAGATACATACTACCACCAATAATTTCACATGATGAAACACTTGGCTAGAGTCCTGAAATAAATGTGGACAAAACCTGTTCGTTCGTTTTTATCTCTGATTTGTAACCAATACGTCTTGGCCCATCGCTGGTACATATACTTTATACTAACGGAGCTCTATTTCCACTAGTCCCCGGCGGTTCGGTGTCGATGGACGGCGAATCCCCGAAGACTAACACCTGCATCTTCACCGCAAACGAGGACATGGATACCATGCGAAACTTTGAACAGGTATGTTACGTATTTTTTATGTAAAATGTAGGTTTTTGTATGGAAATGTGCATTTATTGTGCCTCACTACTAAAGTAGGACATAACTAAATGGCTTAATAATGTACTGGCTAAAGTAACTGGTAACTTAAAAAAAAAACTAAAATCTTGATCACAGCTAATTGTAGAACATCATCCAAGTTACTTATTTTCTTAATAAAAAGCCCGATGAACACCAAATCAATAAAATCTGTTTACATGATGAAAAACATGGCTAGAGTCCTGAACACTTGTGTTGAGAAATCCTTTCTCGTTCGTATTTATCTGACATCAATTTACAACAAATTAACACATACTTGCCACACACGGGTACTAATGCATTAAATAATTGTTTACAGGTATTTGTGAAGCTCATGAGACGTTACAAATACTTGGAAAAGATGTTTGAGGAGGAGATGAAAAAGGTAAGCCTTGTTTATTGTTTGAGAAAAGTTACTAAATACTGAAGGAGTTTGACGTGTTATTCTTGGGGAAAATGTTAAATTCTAGTATGACGACAGAGTAAGATATTGATCAAAAATTACGAGTTACTCACGTAAATATTGAGAACTCTTCCTCATGAATTGTTAATTCAGCATGTCTCAAGTCTCAAGTTATTATTAAAACAGCGTTGATGTATTTGTCATTACCCACAAAGTAACCGCAGATGTCGTGTAGCAAAATGTCATTTAGCGCTTGTCTACATGTAGAATAGAAAACCAAATTATATGGAATTGACGTAAATTTTGACACTTGTCAGTGTCATCCCCATACATTTTGATTTCTACTCTCTGTAGACAACAAGTGCTAAAGTAGCGTTTGGCTAAAGGCCCTAAACCTTTTACACAGTTTCCAAAACTAGTTTTTTATGTTTATTAGATATAGGGGCAAATTCTTTTATGTACATTGTTATACATAATTGCTTGAATTTACGTAAAACATAAGTTACTATCATGAGTTGGCACCCAGCCAAACTAACTTGCAACGTAACTACGGTATCCAATCAAGTTGGAATCGATTTCACGAAATCCGACAATAACGTCTACACAACCATTATTTTTAAATCACCTGTCACTAGTTTAACTGTTTTCATGGTACCTTTATCTAATAATATCCATTTATAAATTATATATTAAAATAAAGTTAATAAAACATTGCCTTAATAGTCTGCTACAAAAACTTTCATCGGCTGGCTACGCATTTATTATTCCTCTTGCGATGAACACTGCCCATGGACGCCCGCACTAATCGCTTACCATCAAACGATGTATCTGTTTATTTGCTTTTCCCATAAAAAGTCGCGAAGATTCTATTATTTAATGAGTTAACAATCATAATCAGCCAGTTTCCATCTACACCTGGACTTCTGAGCTTGATCATCAGAGGTAATCATGTAATTGGTGTATTGTTAAAGGTGCTGGTGTACCTCAAGGGTTTCGAGCCACTGCAGCGCATCAAGCTTGCTCGTATGACTGCACTATGGATCGGTGAGTTTCTTACTACGTGAATTACATACCTAATATGTGCTTTTTAACAAAAATAATACTCGTCTAGTTAATTTTAAAATAGTTCCGTAGAAAATTGTTGTTTATTTGTCTTTTTCCTACAAAATAAACATTGTTTGAATGACGACGATGTAAATATGTCAACTACTTTCTCTATGGGATAGGATCCCAGGACATAATGAGTGAGTTACTTTGTTTCCAATCCAATATCATGAATGATTGTGATGTGCAATATTTCTTCTCTTAGCATGAGGATATCTATTTCAACCCTTACTCCAAAGTTTTCGTGGCTCTATTACAAAAGCTACAACTGCCGTGCGCGTGTCCGCGAGTTCGATCCCGACCCACACGTAGCTCTTTTTGTGAGAGGTTTGCACACGATTAGAGCCATGTAACGTTGACTGCGTTGCGTGGTGTCCAAGTAGTGCTATAGAAATGTGTGGCCATTCAATTAGATCGTGTTTCTATGCGTGAACTAGGTGTGGCTGCACGACATTTTTTTGTTTATAGCGGAATATTATAGATAGGTTTTTATTTGGGAACTAATTTACTGTATAATAAATTATTATTAAAATTACTTGACAAACTTTCATTAGCTAAGAGTTTATTGAAGTTTAAACTTTGTCATAAAACAAGGAAGCGTAAAAGTCGTCTTTGTAATGATGTTATAATTTTTTTTACATTTTCCATACCTCATCTAGCTAATATCAAAAATATTGACAATTGTTATTTTCTAGCCTATTTAGAAAACAAATATATTTTAATTTTAACATCGCATTATTCACAATGTATATTATTAACACTTTTTCTATCTCTATAGGCAATGGTTGCGTACCACCGTCGGTCCTGCTGGTGCTAGTAAACGAGCACTTGTTGAAGGACAACCTGGCGCTGGACTTCGTGCTGGAAGTGTTCGCCACCGTGAAGGCGGAGCGAGGAGTCACATCCCTCGTCACCGCACTCAAGCGGGGGCAGCTTGAAGGCAGGTTAGTGTAACAACCGTGAACTTCATTTTAAAATACAGTTGGTCTAAACCTGTATTGAAGTAATGTTACGCATATTTTATGTATGGCTTAGGTAGTGTTTGCTAGTGTGAGTATGAAGCAAAGGTTTTCTGGTTTAATAGTCAGATTGCGTTTTCTTAGCAAGCATCTGGATTCTGGAATATTGTCCATCTGGCCTGGTGTCATGCCATTCCACAAAATATTGAAAAGTTGATCATTATTTGGTACTAGCCGACCCGGCAAACTTCGTACTGGCTAAAATTTTGTCTCACAATTAGACCATAATTTGCCAAATCGGTTCAGCAGTTTTTGGGTTATAGCGAGACTAACAAACGGAAATTAATTTTTATTTATATTATTATAGATTTTCGCAATTCCAGTTACGTTTAGGATACTACACGTTTCAGATTACATTGTTAAATAATCCAGGTTTAATATGTAATGTTCCCTTAAACATCCGGATGTATTCTCAGTAGAATACGTTCTTCACAATAAGGGTAGAGCAATGAAACATTGTACTGGCTTGTCGTACTATTGCGACATAGTCATTAATGTTGCTACACTCTAAAGAATATTACTTCATATGGGTATGTATAAAAAAGAGTTGGTAAAAGCGCGCCCATGAGTGAAAAATGAATTAAAAAATCAAAACCTAAGATTTATTGAAATTGCCGATACATAGATCACAATGGGTGTTAGGTATTAGGTTTGTATAGGCTTGTTGTTTTAAAGGAATTGACCAATAACCTCGATGTTTTCTCTTCAGACTGCTGGAGTTCTTGCCGTTGAACCGTCGCAGCGAGGACGTGCTGGCCGCGTCGTTCGCGTCGCGCGGTCTCGGCGAGCTACTCCGTCTGCATCGCGCGCAAGCTTCGCAGGAAGCTCGCCGCGAGCTCACGCAGGCGCTGCTGGACGAGCTCGCCGAAGACAAGCCTGTGCGGGACCTCATACAGGACCTGCGCGACATGGCGCACAAACACTCCATTCCTGAACACGAAGTCGTCGCTATTGTGAGTACCGTGCCATTCTTTATTTCACACACATGTACAGAGATTAGTTATATTTATACACAAAGAGAAAAGTTTATCATGTGAACAACAGGAATAAAATTATGTCACCTTTTTCGTAAAACATGTCTTCTTAAAAGTATCTGGTATGTCCCTGTAACAATTTAATGTTCTTTGAACACACTTCTAATGATGATACTCGATGACGAGTCGTAGTACAACTAGAAATCGTTTCGAGCTGGTTCAGACTGAGTCTTTCGGTCCGTTCCGTGCTTGTCTCGACATCTTCTTGTACGGTGACGATGTGGCAATCTGATTTAATACACAAATAACTTTATTACACACACAATAAAGTTCAGATTCCTAATATTTGTGAATTTGGTGATAGATTTGGCAATGTGTGATGTCACGAGGCGAATGGAACAAGAAGGAGGAACTGCTGGCGGAGCAGGCAGCCAAACACTTGCGTCACTACACACCACTGCTGGCTGCCTTCGCGCAGTCTGCTAAAGCTGAGATCGCATTATTGACTAAGGTATGTGTTTTTTAATCGGCCAATATGACAAGGGCACAAGACCAAGAGTCCCCGGAGAATTAATATAAAAAAAATAAACTACAATTTACCTATGATAACTTCAATTTATATACCTCATTCTGATCTTCTAAGACGAATTAGACTTCGTAAAATCATGTATTCAAAATCTTATTACAAGATCTATTAACACAATTCACTAACCTTTAAATTTTTCCGTCATCCAGGTGCAGGAGTACTGTTACGAGAACATGAACTTCATGCGAGCGTTCAGCAAGCTGGTGGTGATGCTGTACAAGACCAACGTACTGTCGGAGGAGGTGATCCTCAAGTGGTACCGCGAGCCTAACTCCAGCAAGGGCAAGATGATGTTCCTCGACCAGATGAAGAAGTTCGTCGAGTGGCTACAGAGCGCCGAAGAAGGTGAGATAGAGACTGATTCGATGATGTAAGAATTAGGAGTCGAGTCGTTTACAAGTGGGATAATAATGGTTGCCATTGTTTATATCTCAACAAATTGCATACTTTTCCCGAAACTTCTCATTACTAAAAGAGAAAAAATATCGTAGGGCGCCTGTTACATTTTTCTGATTATATTAAGGCACATTGAGATTAGGTTTGTTAATGGATACTTCTTGCACTGATGGCACCTCAGAATCAAATGGAACCTTGCTTCCATGTTGCAGCTGGAAAAATTTAATGACTGGTTTTTCTAATTGTCTTTTTTATAAAATTCCAGAGTCCGAGAGTGGCGAAGAAGAAGATTAGATTAAGAGCAGCGAGTGAGACTGACAACACAAAGCGCCGTCCCACCATTGAAGCATAATCACATCGCACCCGACCGACCGCTGACCGACCGCCGACAGACCGACGACAGCCCGACACTCCCGACGCACGGGGCGGCGCTCCAACCGACCGACAGCTCGGCCGTCGCACCTACCAATAATAACTGTACCATAATATAAGTAATATTGTTAACACAGGGCGACCACACGGGACAATGTTTTCTACAACTGTATATTATTCATTTCTAAATAACATGTTGATGAAATACCATATTTTTTATTCAATTTTTTTAGTAAAATTCAAATAAATGGTGGAAACCAATTCGGTGTTTTATTGTGAATCTGTGGAACTTGTTGAGTTCCAAATTTTGTATAACATCACACCGGATTTTCCCCAAAGACTCTTTTAGAAAATACCTCTGTTAAGTTGAGAGTTTAAAATCTAGAATGATTATCAGCATAACCTTCATAAAATTGTTAATACTAAAACATTGCGAATCAATGAAGTGTTCGTTAGAATGGGGCATACCATAATTTTGATCACTACATGGCGCTAATGTGGAATTCTCGTTCTTCGTTCAATACGGAATTTGCTAATGTTACCTCATTGGACGTTCAACATCTAAAAATCTCTACATTATTGCGCCATCTGCCGACCAAAAATACGGTAGCCCATATTGTGTAATATCGTAAACAAATAGGTAGTAAATACCTACTTAAGAGGTGGATAGATACAGAAAAGGTGTAAATAGAAATTGGAAAATTGTTCTAGTATTTATTCATCCCTCTTCTGCATCTATTACCCCTCCCTGCTCTACAGTACCTGCATGTAACGCAGAATTGTTTCAATTAAATAGGTAGGCTAAATTGTTTTCACGATTAATTAGTTCAAGTTCACACGAAAGTATTTTTTAGAATAGTAAGCAAATAACTATCGTTCCTTTTTGATTAACTTCCAAAAAACTGTAACAGAACAAAAATATAACTGACCAATATTATTATACGTGTACACGTGTTAGCCAATAAAAGAATTTAAAATTGAGCACATTTTCTCATTTCAGAATTTACAAATAAGTTCTTTTTGTCACCAAACAATTAGGGACCTTGAAACACCCCAAACTCCGTTACTTATTCAAATTAAGAATAATCCAGACGCCATCATGCTAAATTTGAATAGAACCAGTACCCCGTACCTAAATGAAAAGATTTATTTCGTAATAACTGCGTTGTATTTAACAAAAGCAAAGGAAATCGTTGAATGGCGATTTCATTTTGCGCAGTTCTGTGATTGAGAAGGGGATTAAACAGGTTATAGAAGTTGCTGAGAGAGTTCACAATGCGCGATACTTATGATATAGGTACCTATTAAAATGTACCTACCTACCTAATTTGTCGTAAAAACAAAAATTGCGCAATAAATGAACTAGGAAAACTGCTCAAAAGTAGAAGTATAGTAGGTAATTAATTTAATATCATTGTAAAAATTGATAAGTGATAAAGACGAAGAAAACAAATGCCTTAGTGCAGAGGACAATGTGCCTTATTTCGAACTAGTAGCAAGTTTCTGTAGAATGTAGAAAAGTGAGTGAGTTACATGGAAACAACAGTTTTCTTAGTAAAAACAAATGAACAAAATCACGATAAACAGTAATTACCTATGTACTTACCTAACTTTACAAACGACGCTATAAGAGACCAAGTATGTAGAAAGCAAGGTTCTGGGAAAAAATATTGGGAATGTAATTTTTGATTTAAATTCCATAAAGAACATCAATATAAGTAAATCTTTAAGGTAAATCTTTCCTAAAATTCTGATTGCGTAATTTTCAAGTCGTTCGTTTTTTAAATATCCACCATAGACAAATAAAGCAAGGGGAGGCAACCTTCCGGAGCATTCAACAAGGACTTGTTTAACGGCCATAACATTGTCCCGACGTTCGTTTTGTTTAGCCCCCTCGCGGTCCAAGGACAGCGCGGCCCGCCTATCCAAGGTCACGTCAGGTGATGCCAAAATTTACACGTGTTTAACGGTTTTAAGAATTTGAACTATTTATTACGATTTAAGATTAAATAGGGCGGAAGAGGATTGCGACCTTTATATTTTAAGTTACACGTGCGCACTGCGCATATACTTGGGTTGGAAAGAAGGGTTGAAAGGATTTTGTTTGACGATTTTGCTGCAAAATCGTGTTGAAAATACATATTATAAAGTGACTTATATTTGTGATTTTGCAATTATAAAAGCTAAACCTAAATAAATAATTATGAATCCTATTTAATTGGAGAGTTTACTGACGCAAAATTAGAATAATACTTACATAATACGCCTTAGAAAAAAAAGATTCCATGAAAAATTTGGTCGCATAGATCATTTGATTCTTGACAGTCACCCAGGTGATTACTCGTCCAACAGCAGATGCACGTAATGACGAAAGCACAAAATATCTTAAGAATCAGGTTACCAGTGAAAGGTAACAACTAAAGAGTCTAATTTCCTAATTCAACAATCACACTAAATAATTGTATTCCCACGCAAATAACTAACAATAGCCAATGAAAAGCAACCGATTGAATGCAGGTACCCATTACGATTCGTGATAGATCAAATAAAATAAACTGTTGTTAATTGACGCAGTTTTATATTTAACGAAACTAAAGTTAAGTAGGTTGTGACTGGGCTTTTAAAAAAATTCTCAGTAGTAGCACGGAGTCTGGAACTGTGCCATGTATAGGCAATAGACTCACCCTCTATTACATGAGACTTGATGAGAATTATAACATAAATAGTTAAAAGTGGGTGTTACATTGCGCAGTGGCATTAAGTGCCGTAATGTGCACCTCTGCCTACCCCTTCGGGGATAAAAGGCGTGATGTTATGTTATGTAAACTTAAGTAAATACTAAGTAGGTAACAGTTTATCAGACCTGTATTAACCCATTTGGCGTTTTGTATGATTATACAGAATGCCTAGAATTACCTAGATGAACGTTATCAGTAAATTGCAGAAAAAAATAAGGAAACTTCCTAATTAGTCTTGCTAATAGCTTAACCATAGAATCCAACCTAGTACAACATAATATCTAATCTTATTCAGCAACCAAGTACGACACAACTAAACCTAAGCTATTAATGAAAACATTTTTTTTATGGGTTAAGCCGGTAAACGAGCAGACGGATCACCTGATGGTAAGTAATCGGCGTCGTCCATGGACACCTGGAACACCAGAGGCGTTACCGTACCGAATCTACACCGTTCAAGGTGTAGATTCCTCTGGAGAAGGACGAACAAGAAATTCCATAGTTTAAGTACCTACTCTTTTTCAATCAGGTTCACAATACAATTTTTAGTTACACAGTTTTGTTAGTTCAATTGTGTAAGAACAATGTAACACCAAAATCCAATCATTAGCAGCACGACAGTCGCCGCGTCGCTGTTCGCGGAATGATGCTCATGAATATGAGCCTCAACCATGGCTTGAAACTAGTCGAGTTCCTCGTCAAACAGTTACGTGAGTAAGCCGAAAACATAGTAATTAAAATCCAATGAAAGTCTAATATTGATTAAAAATCGAGGGTTACTCACGTGAATATACTGAGAAAAGCTCTACAAGTTTCGAACCACAGAGGGGTTCTTCCTCATGAGCAGAGTGCGCGGTCGCGGCGATGTCGCGCAGCCTACTCAACATCGCCGCGATTTTTAGTTGATTTAGTATGTGTCACGATAGTTATTATAAAAACAAAGTCTAATATGGGACAAGCCCGCCACAACCTCCTAAAACCGCTGCAACTCCTGTAAGCCAGGATCTACAGTAGATACAACCATGAAAACACCGGAACATTGAAGTCCGGCGCGTCCCAGGGACATGAGTAACTGTCTTGGTTCTCGGAACGAAGTGAATCAGAAGATATTATAAGAGGAGAAGAAGAAAAAACTATGAATGGTGAATTACTGCAGGAGACAGAATGAATTAAGCCTAAAGGCACAAATAAGAAAAAAGTCTAATATATTAAAATCACTTTAAAACAGGCAAAACAAAATAAAAGTGTGTAAATATCGCCCTCAAAACGGTACATCACATTACAGGATGTCCCAAAAACTTGATTTCATCATTTTAATATCATTATACCTTTTAGCTATAAAAAACACATATTAGTACAAAACTCACTTGTATAGAACAGAAAACTGGTCTTAAGTTCGGCAGCTGTGCCGTAGGAAGTGATGTGAAAAGCCGACAGATCACATCAATGCGCCGCACACCTGCGCAGGAGTCTTTGGTCCCGCGCATGAGCAGAACGTACCTACTATAAGTACAGGCGAGGGCTGCCACGGGATATTGCGAATTATTTTTTGAATTTAATTTTTGTTAAAGTAAGAGAAACGTTGGGTTTTTAGGATTGTAATTTAATTTAAACACAACTTTCATTATCTATAATATAATTTTTATTAAATGACATTAAAATGATCTTAATATAATTTTAAATTAAACCATTTACGCAATAGTCACAACCAAGATGAAAACTAAGAAACACGATTTTTTTTAAGGGGCGAAAATCATCGAATGACTGCTCCTGCCTGGGTGAGGCGGGAGGGAGTGTCAGACTCTTACTGACTAAAAACCACCCCGTTCCTTCTCCTGCACATCGAGCCGGAGCCCCGGTTACCTGTTAGGTTCTCCACGACTCCGAAAGACTATAGATTCTACACTAAATTGCATCGAATGCGCAATATCCATTCAGTAAATACATTTGTGTGTGCATCCAATGAAACGCACCCCTTTAAAGTTCATAATAAGAAAAATTTAAACAACCAATCCAATTTAACAAACAATTAACTTTACACTAACCCTATAAAATAGCACCCAGCGATTAATTTTTCAAAAATATCTTCGTAAATACGCAGCAACATATTAAAAAATGTCGGTAACAACCCTTGGGTTACAAGGTACACTTATCCCGAGATGAATACGACAATCACTGATATAA